GAAGGCAGAAACCAACCCACCTGCAGGCAGCTTACATCATCCTCAGCTCAGAGAATTTCACCAGGGCACTGTGAAACAATTCAGTCATTCTTGGAGGCCCACACATTTTATTTCCCTCTATTATTAATTGCTCAAGATTTCAGGAAGATAAAATAGTCATGGCATTTTGAAAACCATTTCAGAAGATATAAGCATATCAAATGGTGAGTGTTTGGTGAACCCCACGGTAGAATGGTTAAGCATTTGGTCTTCTGAGTCAGTAGAAACTTTGGCTTAAAGCCCAACTGCATCATTTACTAACTGTGTGATCTTCGGCAAGTGACTTACCTTCTCTGAGCTCCGATATCCTTATCTCTACACTGGGGGTAAAGTTACCAACCTCCTAAAATATTGTGAAGATTTCTGGAAATGGTGTTTATAAAGTATTAGTGCGGTTCCTGGCAAATGCTTCAAACTCAATAAATGGAAGCTGCCATCGTCAGTGTCATCATCATCATCATAACCATCATCACCACCACTGATGTCATCAGGAGGAAGAAAAGAAGAAGGAAACATTTTGTAGGCTTTTAAAACTTCTTTCATCCACTTCTGACCTTAGAATAATTACAATAATCTATTACTGTGTCATAATATCTAAAAGAACCTATCTGTACCATTGTGGGAGGAACCATATTAATTCAGCAGAGTAACTGGGTTCATGCTGCCTTCTCTACCTTCTCAGGCTTCTCTGTGAGGCCTAGTAGAACACTTTCTTCTTCTTCCTGCATTCTCACTGTGTGGAGTCTGTGTACCTCCAGTTAGCTCTTTCCTCATTACCCTTTCCTGTGTCAATAGCTGTGACTGATATCAGGATGGATTCAAAGTCAGGCAGCTTTATTGGCCACCAGCAGTGTGACCTTGAGCAAATCAGTTAATTTCACTGGGGCTTTGTCTCTTCATCTGGACACTGGGGTCATATTACCCACCTCACAAGGTTACATGAGATGGTTTTCCCAGCATGTAATAGGTTCGCATAAACATCATAGTTACTAGAATTCATGGACATGTCTGGTTCTCCCACTGTATTATAAATGTGTTAAGGACTATATTAGTCTGCTCTTACGCTGCTAATAAAGACGTACCTGAGACTGGATAATTTATAAAGGAAGGAGATTTAATTGACTCACAATTCAGAATGGCTGGGGAGGCCTCAGGAAACTTACAGTCATGGCAGAAGGGGAAGCAAGCATGTCCTTCTTCACAGGGCGGCAACAAGGACAAGTATGAGTGAGAGGGGGAAAAGCCCCTTATAAAACCATCAGATCTTATGAGAACTCACTCCTACCCATGACACGTGGGGATTATGGGAACTATAATTCAAGATGAGATTTGGGTGGGGACACAGCCAATCCATATCAGACACTCTGCCTGACACACGGTAGATCCTCAAAAGTCCTTGCTAAAAGGGAAATAAGGGTTCTGGGCACTTGGGATGAGATAAAGTATCAAGAGCCAGTGGGGGAGTACAAACCAGGGTCAGGGTATTCAGCAGACCCTGATCACATTCTGCCCCTCACTCCTCTCTCCTTTCCTTTCTCCCAGGAAGTGATATTTTCTTGGGCTTTTCCTAGGCCATTTACACTGAGTAAGGACACCCTAGTGACTTTGTTCTGGATAGATCAAAGCCCTTTTCAAACATTACCTCATCTGCCTCCCATCAGCCTGGGGTGGCAGAGAGCTGGTTGGCCCAGAATGATTGTTCCCATTCTACAGGTGAAAACAACAAGGACAAGGATGCATACACTGACTCACAAGTTGAATCAGTGCCTGCTGGGCAGCCCGCCAGGACAGTGTTGCTTCCTAATGACTATGGCGTTTGTTTGAAGTTTATAGATTGAGTTTCTGCCACGGTGGAGCCAAGACCAACCTCCTCACACTTTCCCAGAGTGCCTGGATTATTTTTATTTCTCTATACCTTTGTGTTAGGGATCCCATAGATGAAAAAAAAAGAATAAAGGAACTCTGGGGTCTGACTATGTAGCAAATCAATACAGATCCCATGTATAAATTTTTAGTTGGTTTGCCTTTACTGGGAAGCTGGAAAATTCTTATTCATGAAGTCACCCTGCTTCATCCATGATGATGCCTTAACCAGGAATCTCAGTACTAGCCTATGACAGCATTCTGTACAAGTCTTCACTACTGTGCTAAAATTATTTCTTTATAAGAATTGTCCTCATGTATTGATGCTGGGCATAAAGGGGCAGTAAAAAGAACATTTGGAAGTAGATTCAGGGGACCAAGAATCATCGTCTAAATTCTTTGAGATTTTTTCCCCTCTAAGAATTGGGGAAGTAATGTGTGTGAAAAATCACAGGGCCTGACAAATAGTAGGGACTCGTTAAACATTAGTTAAACCAGAATCCCTGGAATTTGATTCAATCCCTGGCTCACAGTAAGTGCTCTGTAAACATTTGTTTGGACTGTATAGGTATTTGAATATATGGCAGGATTATTTTTATGAGCATTTTCTGCCTAGTTTAATTCTTAATTTTTTTTTTTTTTATTTGAGACAGAGTCTCACTCTGTCACCAGGCTGGAGTGCAGTGGCACGATCGCGGCTCACTGCAACCTCTGCCTCCTGGGTTCAAGAGATTCTCCTGCCTCAGCCTCCTGAGTAGCTGGGATTACAGGTGCCACCATGCCCAGCTAATATTTTGTATCTTTAGTAGAGACAGGGTTTCACTAGGTTGACCAGGTTGGTCTCAAACTCCTGACCTCGTGATCTGCCAGCCTCAGCCTCCCCAAGTGCTGGGATTACAGGCATGAGCCATCAATTCTTAATTTCTAAAGCCCACCAATGGCAAGTCCTCACTGGTCAATCTTATATATGACCCTGATCTTGATACCAAGCTATCAACTCATAAAAATGTATCGAGGGTCTCCTAGCTTCGAGAGTTGTATCCCCATCTACAGCATTTCAGACGTGTTGTTTCTGTGACAGCAGCTTGGACTGGTGTCCTGCCATGCTCTGCACTGGGAAGACATCTCAGCATGTGTGGATGATGTTGTAGGTGCTGGCAACTGCCTTGGAACATGGTTGCACGTAAGGAGTGTTTAACAGTGAGCCATCAGATGAAGGGTGCCAGGGCCAAGAGCTCCAGAATAAATACATTCCATTCTCACCTTACACTGTTGCTGATTTAACTGTGCTTTAAGGCCAGCCAATTGTCAACCCAGTGTGGAAGCAGGGACATTTCTTCACATGTCTATTGTGAGGTTAGGGGAATACGGTCACACTGTGACAGATAAGTCCTGTTCCAAGTTTTCTTAGCATGTATGTGTTTGTATGTGTGTGTGTGTGGGTGTGTGTGTCTTTCAGTGGATCCTGGCCACAGAGTCTTGCTGGGGGATTCCACACCCATGAGATGTGCAAATCTTGAGACTTTTTTGCCGACAAATTTTATCAAGTGTTCACCTTGCCCATGTGTTTCTGTTAGGGTCTCAACAGGAAGCAGATGACATAATTCAAAATAGGATAATCTGAGGAAGGCTATTTGCAATGAGACTATTTACAATGGTGTTGGGGGTAGGAACCACGACAGAGGGAGCAGTAACTTGTGGGTCAGCAGCAGCCGTGATGTTATCACTTCCAGACCTGAGGCACAAAGGAAGGGCTATTACCGCAAACTGGAGGGAGGGCCAGGGAGCAGTGACCTTCAGCTGAGGGACCTGCCAACTGGAGGTGACCTTGCCAGTAAGGATCCAGGGGCCTAACCTACTCTAACCGACCTTTCTTTTTCCTCCAGTCTTCTGTGGGGTTCTCCACTGAGCACACCCTAAAGCCAGGGAGCCCAGGGAGCGCGAAGCAATTTGTAGAGGTCAGCCTCCGGGGGCAGAGGGCAGGCAGGAGAAGTATTTGGAGCATACGCAGACGAGGGTATCTGGAGGGGAAAATGTAAGACATCAGGCACTATACTGAACTGTCTAATGGACAGAGTGATTTCAGGTTTTGTAGGGACTGAAGTTCACATAATTTTGGAGGATCTACTTTAAGAAAAATCAGCTGGGTGTGGCGGCTCATGCCTGTAACTCTAGCGCTTTGGGAGGCCGAGGTGGGGTGGATTGCTTGAGCTCAGGAGGGCAAGACCAGCCTGGGCAACATGGTCAAACCCTGTGTCTACAAAAAATACAAAAATTAGCCAGCAGTGGTGGCCTGTGCCTGTAATCCCAGCTACTTGGGGGGTTGAGGTGGGAGGATTGCTTGAGCCCAGGGGGTCGAGGCTGCAGTGAACGGAGATTGCGCCAAAGCACTGCAGCCTGGGTGACAAAGTGAGATTCTATCTTTAAAAAAAAAAAAGAAAAGTAAAATTGACAAATAAAAACCCAAAAAGCTATGTAAACTCATTGAAGGACCTGCGCAAGTGAGGTCCTGAAGCTTACGCTTCATTGGCTTCATTGTTAATCTCCCTCTGCCTGTGACTTCAGTGATTTTGACCTAGAACAGTGACCCAGTGCCCAATAAGCTTTCAGTCTCATGGATGATGGAGACTTAGCTGATTATAATAAACACAACGCAAACTGTGGCATACGTTGATTACAGGTGAAACACTGCAGAGGATTAGGTAGACATTGAGATAGGCTTTGAAATAGGCTTCGAAAAACAGTAGGATTTAGACACATGTCAATGAGCAGAATAATACTAATACTATCTGCTATTTATTGAGCACCAGGTAAGTTTAAAGTACTGTCTATAGATTATTTCATTTAATCCTAACAGAAACAGGAAACTTATTTTACATCCAACTGTCTGCCAACACAATAAATCAAGCTACTAAGAACAGGGCTGTAAACCATATTTCCTAGAAGGCTAGGGAGCAGAAGGACGGGGATCTCCCTTTGCCGCTAAGAGACTCCAACTCCCAGGATGCCTTGGGAGCGCTGGACCACAGCTCCCGGCATTCCCGGGGAGGCGCGGGGCTAGCGTAGCCTCCGTCCCGCCCCGCCGCGTTCCCGCTCGTCCCGCCCCTCCCGTCGCCTCCGAGCCAATGGGAAGGGTCCATACTGCAGGGTGCGAAGGGGCCGGCGCCGCTGCCGAGTTGCGAGTCGGCGAAAGCGGCGGGAAGTTCGTACTGGGCAGAAGGTGACGGCTGTGCGACTTAGGGTAGGGAGGCCGCAGGCGACACTGCTCGAGGACTCGCGCGCCTAGCTGGGGGCGCGGAGGAGGGCGGCCGGGGGCTGGGCCGGCACTGGGCCTTCCGGGCGGTCTGTGGGTCCGCCGGGGTGCGGAAGGCGCCGTCAGCCCTGGCCGCCCCGCGGGACCGCGCTCCGCCGCGTGGCTTCCGCCTGCGCGGGCGTTCACTCTTTGCTTGTCTCGCTCAGGCCCCGCTGGCGATCCCGGGGATTCCTGGACTGGCCAGGCCGGCCCCCATCTGAGCTCCACGTTCTGGACGCGCGTGGTGTCGCGGCCGAGCTCGCAAACGCCGCCTCGGGCCTCGCCGGGAAGCTGGGTCTGTCAGGCGGGGCCCCTGCCCGGCGGAGCTCGCTGTCTGCTAGGGAAACAACACACGCAGCTGCGATGCTTTGCGGATACGGACGTGCTTTCTTAGAAACGGGACAGGCAGTTGCGGGCTAGAGGAATGGGCGCGAGGCTCTTTAGGTTAGGTGATCCGGGAGGGCATCTCAGAGGATGTGACCTTTGACTTGAGACCTGAGAGGGAAGAGGGAGGCTGACCCCTGAGGATAGCAGCCAGGCCTGGGGACCGCGAGGCCGCCCGTTATTTCCCTGTCACGTCGCGGGGAGGCCCCGTGGTCTTGTACTTGAGGGTCTGTCTGGTGCAAGGCAGTTAGAGCCGCTTGTGGGTTTTGCAAAGGACTTTCGTATCCCGTTTGACAGTTCCTCCTCTGTTCTGTCCCTACCTGGCAGGGTGGCATCCTTTACTGTTGCAGCTCCATTCAAGGGCAACGCATAGTTTTTCCTGCCACCGAAATAGTATTTTGGTTCTCGTCTCAAAACTCTTAGGTGATTGAATTAAATTCGACAGACAGCAGCGGAGACAGACCCTATAGGTTCCTGTTGAGGCCACCCATTTTTCTGATGTCCTTTCTTTCAAGTCACCCATTTTTGTTTTCCTTTGTATAGGCTCTTGCCTTCCCTCTCCTGTGTCCCTTTCTTGGAACAACTTGGAAACACCAGTTTTGCTATTGGGAGGATGTTTTAGGGAACTGTTGAAGAACCTCATTAATTACTGTGTGTGTGTTTTTCTTTTCTTTTCTTTCTTTTTTTTTTTTTAAATTGGAATTGCCCATCTGTTGAATCTGAAATTCAAAAGAGTAAAAAAAATGTAGGGTAGCATTTATTTTCAAGAGTTCGCAATAAAGGCACCTTTCTTTATGACATGCTGAGCATGATACTTTGGGGGAGAATTTAATCTAGAATTTTGAAGCATTTTCAGAAGGAAGCAAGGGTTCTTTATATAGTCATTTTATGTAGGTTACGTTTATGTTCTTCAAAATGGCATGTAGTGATTGGAATTACATTTCTGGGTGGATATTATTATGTTCATCTGTTACCTATAGAAAGGAATATAACTTAGTCACTTAATAATAGCTTTCTCTGTTGATGCTACCACAGATGGTATTCTCTACATCTCAACATTGCTGATCGGATTCTGTGTTAATACAGTAACACAACTTGAATTTAATAACAATAAACTTGTGTTAGGCGTTACTGTCAATTTAGTTCTGGTATCTAGTACAAATACCAACTTTATAGTGCAGTGGCTTCTTGTTATGCTCAGTGCTGCAAAAATTATGAGAGGATATTTGTTAAACAAATGAGATAATGGAGTAATGTGTTAAGCATAGAGCCTGGCATATAGTAAGTTAGTAAGTGCCCAGGAAATGGTTATATGGAAAGCTTATGCTAAGTTTTATTCCAGTATGCAAGTGTATATTTTAAAAATAACAGTAATGCATTCAAAATGTTGACAGACCCTAAAATTAAATTTCTTAAAGGAAACAGGCCAGCTTTTTTTTTTTAACTTTGAGAACTAATGTGAAATAATAATAAATATATAAGTGAAATGTCCCAGATGTCTAGAAATGAAAAAACAAGATTTTAATTTTGACAGCTATATTTTTTTTTTCTTAAAAGCATCCCTAATAAGATATAATGTACTATGATTAGGATTATGATTTGAAAAATAAAACTTTAAAAATATTTTTGATTTGAAAAATAAAACTTATTTGGAAATGAAGCGAAGCTTTAAGATTTACCTTATATCAAATGAAGGATGTCTCCTGAATTTATGCAAATGTGCAAATGCTTATATCTCCATAGATCAGGCAGTGAGCCTAATGGGAATTAAATGCTCCCTCTTTGTGCGTGTGAGTGAGGCTTTCATGAAAATTGCTCTTGATGGGTTCTGAGAATGGATTGGTAACTGAATAGGACTGGAGAATATTTTTCAGACTGGTAGGATATTTTACATGCTTGCCAGGGTTATTTTTCGGAGAAGAAATGGACTCATTTATTCACCAGAGATCACGTGCCCCCTATTTGCAAGGAATTGTGCTAGGTGCAAAGTCTGTTCTTGCTATTGTAGTGTTTTGCTGAAGCAAGTTTTCTTTGTTTTAAATTAATGTGCGTCTGTTTTGTTTTGTTTTTTTAAACTTTATCTAGCATCCAGCACAGAATAATCCAATAAATGTGTAGAGCACATTTGAAAAACTGTACTATTAATGTGAAAATGTAGAAAATGTTTAATAAAGGTGCAAGATTAATTTAAAAGGGTGATAGAACCCTAATAAAACATTTAGGTAGGTGTTGTAACCAAGATGTAATTTTACTGTAGGATAAGTTTGGCTCCTTTGATCAAAATTCCTGTGAATCTATTTCTCATTGCCATTATAAAGATGCAGAGGGCTGTGTCCTTTGAATTTTTTTCCCTTTGGTGCTTGAATGATATTTAAGCATCCAGCATTCCGAAGTTGCTATTTTGAAGTAATTTCATGCACTTTCCCAATTACTCCTGCTCCATCTCTCCCAATGTTGTCTTAAATCTTTGCACTCAAATTCAAGCACATCCTACTACTCTTGTTCTGAGTGACATATGGGCAACACTTTGAAAAAGAAAAGCTCTCTAGAAAATCTAGAGAGGTATAAGCAGGGGCCCTTCTCCCATATTAGGAGTTAGATTTTTAGTATTCATCAATAAATACTAATGAGAAGAAACTGCTCTACTTTTACCAACATTCTTCGGGAAATTTATTAAGAATTTTATTAGCCACAGCATCTTTGTCAGCTTGGAAAAATATATGTTTGTGAATCATGTTTATTTAGTCTTTAGGTAAGTACAGGATTTTGATGATTCTTTGCAGTTACTCCTATCTCTCTATGGGTCTCTTGCCCATAGGATGGGAACCAGTGCTCTAGGATTTGAAAATTAAGGTAGATACTGTTCACAGTGGCAAATATTGAAGATGAATATTAAACTTGTATACTAAAATGTTTATTGGTAAGTCTTATTCATTAAATGGGAAGATATACTAGACGAAGTAATAATTAAATTGCAAGGTAATTTGAGATTTGGGAATGTTCTGTCATACACTTTTAAAGCAAATATTATACTGATAATGGAAGGACACATGTCTTGTGGAGCTCAGTATCAGGAACAATATAGTTGATCCTCTAGGGGACTAAACATGAGAACTGGAAGTCATTAGGAACACCAGCAGCCCCATTCTGCTGTTTCGAGGACCTTATAATTTCTTTCTGTGTATTTTCTTTTCTTTTTGAGGACCGTCTGTCTGACTGTTTGTATGTCGGCAGATATGTCTGCTCTAGACTTAGATACTTGCTTTAAGAATGCAAAAGAGATTGCATTATCTAATTGTCATTTGTATCTAAAATTAAACAAACCATGACTTTAGACATAGCTGAGATAACCATAGCTTTATTTCAGGTTAATTCCTTTTCTTAAACTGTTTATCAAGTAACAGCTAAAGAAAAGTCATCATTTGATGACACTAAGTATTAATGCATTGTGATTGCATTTCACAATATTAAGTGTTAGAACTGTTAGACCTTAAGTCTTTATAGATTGTGTCTGGAAAACATAGGGAAAGAAATGTTTGCTGTTTCTACTGTAGTCTTTAGAGTTGCTTTTTTCACACTTTATTGCAGTTTACTATATAATTTGGCAACAGCTATAAACATAGAGATTATATGTAATTACAGTGTACCCTTGAACAACTCAGGGGTTGGAAGTGCTGACCCCCACGCAGTTGAAAATCCAGGTATAAGCTTTGACTCCTCAAAAGCATAACCACTCAGCCTGTTGACCAGAAGCCCTATCAATAGCATAAACAATTGATTAACACATATTTGTATGTTATATATACTATATGCTATATTCTTACAATACAATAAGCTAGAGAAAAGAAAATGTTATTAAGAAAACCCTAAGAAAGAGAAAATATATTTCTGGTTGATGAAGCGGAAGTGGGCCATCTTAAAGGTCTTCATCGTCATTGTCTTGGTGTTGAGTAAGTTCAGGAGGAAGAACAAGAGGAGAAGTTAGTCTTACTGTCTTGGAATGGCAGAGGCAGAAGAAAATCTGTATAAGTGGACCTGCACAGTTCACATTCATGTTGTTCAAGGGTCAGCTGTATACATTTTTTTCTTAGAGGTAATAAAACAAATCTGTTATTTGGGAATCAGGAAAAAAGTTCTAAGATTCCTTTTTTAAAAATAAGTTCAGATTGTAACATTTAAGAAGTTTAATCTTGTTTTTTCAGACTTGCAGAAAAGACTTTAGAAATGCTGATTGTAAAATTTATCTTTCATATGTTGCTGGTAGGAATCTAAAATGATTACTGGAAATTAGTTTGGCAATTTCTCGAAAAGTTAAACATACACTTGACACACAATCCAGCAGTTGCACTCCTGAGCCTTTATCCTAGAGAAATGAAAACTTACATTCACAAAAAAACCTGTACATGAATGCTCGTAGCAGCCTTGTTTATAGTAGCTAAAAACCAGAAACAACTCACATGTCCTTCAATGGGTGAATGGTTAAGTAAAATGTGATAGTCTTGCAGTAGAACACCACCATCAAAAAAAGAAACAAACTGTTGGTACATGCAACAACTTGGATGGAG